CCCCAGACAGCACGGGATCCCTCACACTCCCCAGACAGCATGGGATCCCCCACAACCCCCCCCCAGATAGCACGGGATCCCCCACACCCCCCAGACAGCACGGGATCCCCCACACCCCCCAGACAGCACGGGATCCCCTGCATCCCCCAGTCACAGCACAGAATCCCTCGCACCCTCCAGGAAGCAAGGCATCTCCTGTACCTCTCCACCCGATGCAAGTGTAACCACTACCTGGCCTTTAGGAAGAGATTGGGAAAGCAGGACTACTGATCCTAGGCCCCCTACTTCCTCCCTACATGCCCCTAGCCTCTCCAGTGCCTTGTTCTCCCTCCATTCTGTGGAAAGGGGTGGGCGTCCTGTATCACGTGGTGAGGTCAGAAAAGCCAAGAAACCCCACAGGAGCGGCATGGGCTGCTTCACAGAGCACAGGAGCCCTCACACAACAGTTCCCTCAGGCCCCACAGGGCCACCTCCACACAGTGGCTGCAGGGCAGGGGGATGTCCAGGGTCACCATCAGCTGCAGGAAGCAGGAGCAAGATGGGTGAGAAGGGCCAAGCGGGATGAGGCTGTCTGCGGAGCTGCCACTTCCTGCTGGGCTTGGCTGTGTTCTGTGGGCTGCGGCTCTCCGAGCCCAGCTTCAGATGTAATGGAGTGGGGAATGACTGTGGTCCGAGGCGGGCACAGTTTAGAACTTACCCCCTTCTTACCTGTTGAAAGGATCCTGCAGAAAGCACTCCTTCCACACCATGGAGGCGACCGCTCTGGACATGAGGTAAGAGTAGTACTTAGCGCCATACCCCACGAGGTGGCTGAATCGCAGCTGCCAGGCCTGCTGAGAACAGAGACACAGCACGGGACACAAGTCAGCTTCCACTTGGAGAGTATCACATGTGAGAACACAGTGGAGACACGGAGAGACCCGTCAATGTTTTCACCTGCATTTTACCCCAGAAGGCTGTGTCACCTATGATATCACTATTCTCACATTTTATACACTGTTACGGGCTGAAGTGTGTCTCCTCAAAATTCACACGTTGAAACCCAAAGCCATACCTCAGAACGTGACTCATTAGGAGGCAGGGCCTCCAAAGAAGTGATTAAGTAAAAGTGAAGCTCTTAGACTGGGCCCTCGCCCAATCTCACTGGTGTCTTGGAAGAGGAGGAAAGCTGGATGCCAGGGTGTGGGCACTGAGGAAAGGTTGTCTCCAGGCCAATGGGGCCTCGGGAGAAGCCAGACCTGCTGACACCTTGGTCTGGATTTCCAGCCTCCAGAACAGTGGGAAGTAAATTTCTATTGTTTAAGCCACACAGGCTCTGGTATTTTGTGAAGGCAGCCCTAGCACACTAAGACACACACAAAGAAAATTTTGTATCACATAAATATAATCACAGATAGGTGTATGTGTTTTGCTCCAAATATATGGTTAATCTTCTTCATTGAGTGAGTTTAATTACGCTGATTATAATACATTGTATTTCACATGACTATCTAGAAAAACAGTAAAGTCAGGAGTTTACTTATTTTTAATAATTTAGGTAGTTCAGAGAGTTGTACTCTGCAATGATTCTCTGTTGCACGAACTGCTTTTCATGAACTCGTTTTTGTAACATAAAAACCTTCCATGTTTTTACCATAATTACATTTTACGACGAAACAAAAAGTCACAGAGGAGAAGGAAAATGGGACAGAATTTAAAAATCATAACTAGATAAAGAGGGGTAGTCTGGGAATGCATTCTTTTTTGTTTTTAGAAGAGACAAACGCTAAGAACCAAAGATAACCACCAGCAACTTGCCTCCCAGTGAACAAACTGTCTGTGGTCCCTCCTCTGAGCTCCTTCCACTTATTTTCTAATCATAAGACAGGAGAAGCAGACACCTAATTGTTTTCTACAAGTTCATCACTCTGGGATTCACTTCTGTGACAGAAACGTAGAGAAGACAGCCTAGAGACGGTGGCGGGAGTGCCAGTGGTGGAGCCGGGTGGACGTGCACATCTGTTCTGACCCGCTCGGAATGCCTGGTCATCAACATTGGAGGAGGGGATTTGGGGTCTGGCACACACAGAGAGAGCATCCATTCTACCTAAGGACAATGATGTAGTTATGATAGGAAAGGCCACATGGATTTTCATGGAAGGACACTGTTCCACTGGAAACTTCTTTTCCTAGGAATACTGCTCTTTCTCTGTTGCTACAGTGGAAAACATCTCCATTCCAACCCATCTGCAAGGGCAGGGCTACGCAAGCACAGCACACGAGCTTGCAATGGCGCGTCTGCTGTAACGTCACCCCAGCCAAAGCTGGGACTACGAAAACTGCCCTCGAAGGCTACACTTAGGACTTTAACATTTTTACTTTTCTGAAACAAATCTGACACGGCAATCATTCACTTTCTTCTCTCTTTATCTGACATAAACATTTCTTTTAAAAATAGAAGCTTGGGCCGGGCACAGTGGCTCATGCCTGTAATCCCAGCACATCAGGAGGCTGAGGCAGCTGGGTCACTTGAGGCCAAGAATTCGAGACCAGCCTGGCTAACATGGTGAAACCCTGTCTCTACTAAAAATACAAAAATTAGCCAGGCATGGCGGCACATGTCTGTAATCTCAGCTACTCGGGAAGTTGAAGCAGGCGAATTGCTTGAACCCAGGAGGTGGAGGTTGTAGTGAGCCAAGATCGCATCACTGCACTCCAGCCTGGGCGACAGAGCAAGCATCTGTCTCAAAAAAATAATAATTAAAAAATAAATAAACAAACAACTTTTTTAAAAAGCTTAACTTTTTTTAACCATGACAACAACACTCTTAACGAATTTGTTAACTCCCCAGAAAACAAACAATAAATAAAGTATAATCCTTGTTACAACTCTATAAACTAGGTAAGTGAATTCTAGTTAACATATCGAGCAGGAAACATTTTTTAAAATATGGTTACTTCATCACAGGAACGTGGCAGCATACTCCCTGTGTTCACTACACAGTGGCTTAAAAGACGCATGGCAATGCTAGTGACTCTCTGGTTGTGTCCAATTCTCCAAGACAGCTAGTTTGCCTGGGCTCAGCAAGGGCTCTGTCCTAAGGAAGGTGTGCAGGAACACTGCACGCAGATGAGGACATGGGGCCAGCACCTCCGAGGCACCGTGCACCTCCACATCCGCTCTCCTCTTTCTGTAAGAAGACACGATTGGAAGTCAGGTGGGCGCCTTGTGAGTGGTGTCCTGAAGGAATGATCCACGCCCCTTCCTTCTTGGGGATGCAGCCAGTCAGAAGTGTGGGCCTGTAACGGGGGCAGCCACCTCCTGCGCTGGGCTGGGGCACTTGCACAGCTATTGTTTTGGGTCTCTCTCACAGCAGCTAGACCTATATCCTACCTCACAAGATACCCCAACTGCAGGCCCAAGTGCCACCCCCACACAGTACCATGAAAACACAACCAACAGTGGGGCTGAGGCTGCGGGAGGTGCAACAGATGCACGCCCTTGGTGGAGCTGTGCCCTGCTGGGAGGAGCTGGACACTCAAAATGTGGCCTGCGCAGTCTTTTGTCAGCAAGGTCCGCCAGCATAGTGAAGGCCAGAGAAAGGAAGACATGGAATTTTCATCCTGTTAAGACGCAAGTGGTATTTAAACAAAAGCAAAGAGCCTAGGACCATCTATGAACTAAATTCCAGTGTAACAAACTTTGAATAACTACGTTTTTACTCAAAAGGCTTTAGAATTCATTTACAACAGATACACAGTTCCATGTACTTTGTCTTATTCAAAAGGGGTATTTGTCAGTTTTTCTGTTATGCTGGAATCCTAATCTACTAAGTGATGAGAACTCATGGACCACTGGTAGCCCTTCTCGTATGCAGCAGTTTGGATGCGAGGATATCTTCTGTAATGGAATACGGCCTGCTGTTTTAATCTGATACTGCACCAAGATACGAGCACTTGTACTACTGATGATAAGCGTCTCTCAGGGTGGACGCCCCGGAATTCGTAGCATACAGTTAAGGGGCTTTGTCTTTGAAATATTTTCTTCACGGTGATTTGCCAGAACGAGTTTGGCAGCCTTTGCAGTACAGAGCAGAGTTTAATTCTGTTTAGATTCCAGCTGAATACGGCTTTGTTTTACTTTGAAAGCAAGCCCACTTCAATAGTGGCATTTGATCTGAGCTAAGAAATGTCTTAAGTTCCCCGGTTTCATCAGCTCGTAACTGAGTTCCCACATCCCACATAAACAGAGTTATAAAAATAAGACCTTTCAGAACGGTAGAAAGAGACATCAGGATTTGTGCACGCACCACTTCCTGGACAGTCAGGGTCCGCCTTATCCTGACCCCCCGCCTGAATGCAGGTCTTCTGGTACACACATGCCCCGCTGTGTCTTGCTCTTTAATTACAGGTTTGGGTTCAGGACTACACCGCAAGACATGCTAAATAAATTATCTCCACCTGACACCTTTCATCATCGGTTTGCAAGTCTATGGCTGACTAAGACCTACAATTCTACTGTTGTTTGAACACAATTGCTGAATTCCTGCTAATTCAACCTAATATTAAGTCCTTATTACCGTTTCACTCATTCATCTGGAATAATAAAATATAGCATTTCATCTTAAGCTCTGGAGTTATATCCTCTTCCTTTTAAATTGAAGTTTTCTTCTTCCTAAGGGATATTTGTCAGATGGATAAAAGCTTTCACACTTCCTTCGATGTTTAACATGTGGATCTGATTTCAAAAGCAAACCATGAAACATCTTTGTAGTTATCCTTTTATTATGGTGAGAGACATAGATTTTCAAATCCCATTGCTATCCCAAGGCATGCCTATTTAAACTTTCCTTGAGTTAGATAATCTCAGCGTCCCATACGAAAGACAAAACCTGGAGCCAGCAAAGCAGCCTGTCGAGAAACCCATGCATATGGTCACTTGCTTTAGAACTCCAGAGAATGGAAGGCTCTTTGATCATTTTTACTTGCCTACAGCCCTTCTCTAATGCCATGATTTTCCAGGACCAGAAATGGAAAGGTAGCAACGGGCCACTTTATTTTCAGTTTCAAACACAGAACAGGGGCTAGTGCAGAGCAAGCACTCATTAACTGTGTGCTAGATACGGAATAACGGAACTAACCATTTCTCGTAATTATACTCTTCTTAAATTTTTTTAGAGACAAGGTCTCACTCTGTGACTCAGGCTGGAGCGCAGTGGCATGAGCATGTCTCACTGTAACCTGGAGCTCCTGGGCTCAAGCAGCCTCTCACCTCAGCCTCCTGAGCAGCTGGGACCACAGGTATGCACCACCATGCTTGGCTAATTTTTAAAATTTTTTTGTAGAGATGAGGGTTGTTTCCCAGCCTAGTTTTGAACTCTTGGCCTCAAGTGATCTGCTTACCTTGGCCTCGTAAAGTGCTGGGATTGCAGGTGTCAGCCACTGTGCTCAGCCAACTATACTCTTAAATAGTATACCATTTCTTCATGTCCAGCTATACATGTAGAGATGCATTTAGCTAAAATTTATTTTAAAATGATTTTATCACTGGAACATTATACAGCTGACTCTTGAACAACACAAGTGGATCCACTTATACGTGGATTTCTTTCAATGAATACAGTCGAATACATATTGGCAGACTCTGCATCCACACCCAAACACCGGTGGGAAATACAGTGGGGATGTGAAACCTGCATCTATGGAGGGTCGAATGTTCCTATCTGCAGGTTCCACAGGGCCAATCACAGGACTTGAACATGCTCAGATTTTGGTATCCATGGTCAGGGGCTGGATCCTAGAACCAATTCCCACAGATACTGAGGGACGCTCTACAGTAGTCCTCCCAACT